TAAATATCGGCCCGATATATCGGCCGGCCGATATATCGGTCGACCTCTAGTTTGTATGGCCCCCACATGCTTGTTTGTATGCCTGACAACATTGGGGCATGCTCCAAATGAGACAAGCATGGGGACCAGTCAATGGTATTAATTCCTTACTGTGATTCAGTACTCGCTTGACTCAATACACTTCATGAACCAATAGGGTTCATGAAATTGCAAATGTCATCAGTTGCTTCATCAAATCCACTGGCATAGGACTTTGTACATTTGTGAAACTGTTGTGTATTTTTCTTTTTGCGTATTGCCAAAAAGAGACCAGTTATGGTCAGAAGCATTATGTTGGGAGATTATTGCTATAACTGGTAACAGGGCCTTCGATCAGCAAACACCCTTCCACCAGTTTGATGCCAAGTTCCCTCTAACAGAATAAACAGTACTAATAAGTCAATTATATCAATTAGCTAGCCAGATTCTGTCACGCCCCGCTCCGTCCGCTCCCGATGTGTGCCACGCCCACCTCCATTACCTCCTGTTTTGCCCTGATTGTTCTAACCTGTGGCTTGTTGTCCGTGGCTTGTCTAGTGTATTTAGTCCTTGTCAGAGTCAGTTATCCCCAGATCAGTCATTGTGTAGTGTCCGTTGATGTTCGTGCTTGTACGTCTGCCTTCTATTAAACCCCGTTACCCTGACTACCTGGCTACGCTCGCCTGCTTCCTGCCTGCTCTACCCGCGAGCGTGACAGATTCGTAGTTAGTGGGCTAGCTAGTTAAATTATTTTGGCTCATCCATTACCCTGTTTGATCATGGATTACTTGAGGGATAGCCATTTAGTTTCCTGTACATTTTTTGTACATATTTGTATTTCTATATTTATGGCCAATTCCATGCAAAGGTCAACCTTATCATGGAAACATTGGAACAGAATGATTTTTAAAATGTTCACATGACTTTATGTCACATTTTATTGTTAGTCTTTTGATAATTACTATTTCAATTGTTTCATATAAAGATTCACCATGCAGGCTTGTAGTTTCTATAGTATGTGAAGGACTGGTCACATTCATGTGTAAAAATGTCACATACACTTGGTTTAGCTTATGTGTGAAGCATTTTTTTATTTTTTCAAGAATCACAACCAGAGACGGCAGGATTCTGTCCCCTGCTATATTACAAAATGGAATTATTATAACCATAATTATCAATATTTTAATACTAATTATGAAATAAGACTCCTTAAAAAGCCACACTTCCTATACCAGAAACACACACTCATAAAACTGAAGAAGCAGGCATTATTCATTAAGGAGGTTTTCAAAAGGCTGTATTTCATGCTCATTTGGCCTATATTCTACCAAGACTGCATATATGTCCTACATACCATGCTACAATTTAATGCATAGTAAAGGTTAAAGTACCTACTGACTTGCTAATATTCATGTTGATTTCATATGGAATGTTACTTTTAAAAACCGACTATTCTGTAGTTGAAAAGTTCTTGAAAAAGACCTTTCACAAGAAACACAAAATCAAAGAAATTAAAATGTAGTATTTTAATTAAATGGCATTTATATCTTCTTTACCATAACATACCATTGCATGTATCAAGTACACCATTAATGTGTTCTATATTGTATATTTTTATCTAGACCAACTGGCTCAGTGTTATAGCCCTGTTGTTAAAAACCTGTCAAATTGTTGACTTATTCTGTTAAGCTCAACAAACATTACTTGTGCTTAAATGTCTCCTTTGTTGTTCATCAGTTCAGCCATTAGATATGGCTGGAGGTCCTGTAGGATTGAGAATAACTCATCTTTTCCCCTATTCCCACATGATTTTAAGGGGCCGTTGTACAGCGTCCTCATCTTACTCTGATCATTGGGCAAGGTAGAAATATCACTGTAGCTGACTGAGTTGAGAATGTGTTTATCCAGGAGACGGTCCAAGATGGAATTCACATTGTTAACTCTTTCGATGAGGGCGGTTCGGTGCTCATCCAAAAAGTGCTTTTCTGGGGGTGAGAAATAGGGTTTACTAAAATTAATTTGACAGTAGTCTACAGGAAATAACTTAAGCCATATTCAGATAAAGCAATAAGTAATGTAGGATGATCTGTGATTGTTCATGTGATTAAGAAACACAATACTAAAATATAAATACATTTTATTAACATAACTTTATTTAGCATTTCATGTTTGTGTATGGATTTCTGAACATCATGAAACAAACCATAGAGTTGAACATCTTAAACACACATATGACGATGTGTCCTCAAACTGTGCATATATAATACTTGCATAAGCTTTGTGTTGCACATTACAGCAATATAATGGGTTGAATGCATCATGTTTCCAGGTGAATTTGTGCCGTGTTTTTGTGCACATATGTATACTTCATACATACACTACGTCAGGGGTCCCCAAAGGAACTACTTGACGAGGACACTTGCCTAACTGGTAACCATTCTACACTTGGGTAGGCGTGCCAGTTTTTAGTGACAGTGACTAGCAGTTGGTTTGGAATAATACATCGTAGCCTACACTGCAGCCTTATAAGCTTGTTTGGACTATGCAGTTGATTACACTATTATTTTCTCAGCAATGCATTATAAACTTTCAGTTCATGCTACTAATAAAACTAACATTTACACCATATCTATTGGTTAAGGATATCTGTTTACAGAATTTTTCTAAATGAAGGAAAAAAGCTGAAGCAGGCCTATACGAGTTCATTCTTAAACGGGCATGTTAAAATTCCATTTTCTTATGAATTCTTTACAGCAACATATACATTTTTTCTAATTTTTAAAATAAGTTTGTCAACAGACTCACATTATACAACTTCTCTGGGGTAGTTAATCAGTTGTGGAGTAATGCAATATACAATACAAAACAATTGAAGAAATGAATGTACATCTAAATAAGTATCTATTATGGGTTACATGTAATAAAGCTGAAATTCTTAAGAATATTTTATCTAGTTTTGTGTTATTTTTTATCTTAAAACTGAACGGTAGTGCCTATTTGGGGAAAATGGTTGAGAAATAATTAAATCGGAGCTAATGATGACATCATTTTGATACAGCTAATAAGGTATTGTCAATTGTTATACATAAAATTCAAACACTGCATTTCACCATAACATTTCATTTGTCTAAAGATACTTATGTTCAGCTATACCACCATGTTCAGCTATACCACCATGCTTTCATTTTCTGAGTGGGATTCTACGTATTTCAATTAGGTTCACAATTTAGATTAAAGAGTAGGCCTACATGTTCCACGCTTTGCTGGTTTACAAAATCACTGAGGATGTAACCTGATTTTCTTTTTTTTTTCTTGAATTAATTAGATTTCTCTTTTAAAGGGTTACACCCTTATGAGGAGAGAATACACATAAAGCGCATGACCTTTTAAGCCCTTTTTCAACTTAAGCGCCTGATGGGAAAATAGACCCCAGGTCTTAGTAAAGAAATATAATATAATTTCTTTTGAAATTTCAGAGAAATTGACACTGATATTACACTGTGACTATTGGGAAAAAAATCATTTTTGTTAAAACCTATAAAGAAGTGTGTGGTATGTGTTTAAACAATCCGAGTCTGTCCACAGTTAAATATGATGGCCAAAGAACACTAATAATTAGGAGATATTTTCATTTATGAGCACATGATTCTGGAATCACAAAATACAGTGAAAATACATCACTACAAGTAAATATACTTCATTTACTTCTCACTTACTCCTTTCAATTTTTTTTTAAAGAAAGTGCTTAAAACATAAGCACTAACCCTATCTGCATTCTAAAAACTTACCATTCACCATGGAAGTTGAACATCCTGCAGATGGACCATAAGTAGGTCTACTCTGACCAGTCAGTCCAAAAGACATTGAAACTAGAAAAAACACAATAGAGAATTAACCATAAACATCAGCACACTATCATTTGAAAGACGGTTTGCCCTTATATATTAATGCATATACCACATCAACAAAAGAGAAACATCCCGTTAAATATAGGGCCCATGGTGGCACAGTGGGTCGCACCTCCAAGGCTGGAAGTTCGAGTCCTGCCTCTGCTCTGAATGTGTGGAGTTTGCATGTGCTCCCCAGGTGGGTGTTCTTCAGGTTTCCTCCCATGGCCCAAAGCAGTTGGATCAATACTAAAATTCTGACAGTGCTACCAGTTTTAGTACCCCAGTATCAATACTAAACTGATACTGTAAAACAGGAGCCTCCAACTCCATCCTGGAGAGCTACTGTCCAGTAGAGGTTTTCTATCCTACCTGGCTACTGATGAGACACACCTGTTCTCAGGTAAATTCCCCGGAACAGGTGTGAGTCATCAAAAGCCAGATAGAATAGAAAATCGACTGGATAATCAGAGTTGGAGACCCCTGCTGTAAAATGTTCCCATTAAATACTACATTGCTTTCAAGTTGCATCAGTGCAGCTTGGAATAGGCTCCAAACTGACCATGTCCCTGTCTAGAGAAAGTGGTTGAAAGACAGATGAATAACACAAGTCTACAATTTTTTTTTTTCAGGTGCCAAGGTTTTTTGAATAGATTTAGGGTATTTTGAGGGTTCTGAATTTAAAAAATTCCATTACTTTTGCTGAATTGATTCTAGTTTTTGGGATAATGGACATCCATGAAAATAATGCATTCCCCCAATGTGGCTTGTGTGTGATAACAAATGCAATAGCTTTTGGTCTGTCTTTTCACTCTTTAACAATGTCTTAGGTAATGAAATATCCCATATTGTCACGTTCCACGGGGAAGCAGGCGACAGATGCCGTGAATATAAAGAAAAGGGCTTTGTTTCCGGGACGACACACTGCAAGACACACATAACATTACAATGACCGGACTGGGGAAACAAATGGAAACGCGGACTAAATACAATGAACTAATGACAACAATCAGAAACAGCCGTAAAACACTGGGAATCCACATGAGGTTAATGAGGGGGCGTGGCACACGAGAGGAGCGGACGATTGGGGCATGACACATATGATTATTTTGTATTTCAATTTGTAGGCCTACAATGCTATAAAAGCCACTTTTTGAAGCCAGAATTCAACTGTGAATTTGCAGAGGATAGAAGTCGGCTACAGTATAAGTTTGTTAACCCAGTCTTGGTTTATACCCAAAAAGTTCTGTCTTAATAAATATATAAATACATGTAAAAATTATGACTTCATCAAGAAGAGCCTGCATTTACCAAATGCATGAATGACACTGAGGCTTCAGCCTGGGTGACCATGGGGTGATGGTGGTGCAGGAGGTAGTGCTACTGTTCGGCAGCCGAAGGGTTGCAGGTTCAAGCGTCGGGTCCTCCTGACCCCATCGAAGTGTCCTTGAGCAAGACACTGAACCCTGAATTGCTCCCGGTGAGCTGGTTGCTGCCTTGCATAGCAGCCTCCGCCACCGGTGTGTGTATGGATGGGTGAATGTGAGACATAACTGTAAAGCGCTTTGAGTGCTCAAAAGAGTAGCAAAAATGCACTATATAAATGCAGTCCATTTACCTTTAACATTTAACAGAGTTTTGTGTCTGTTGTGAAGAACTACTTGGGTAATCACAGAGCAGACAATTATGAAGAATTAGTGCAAGATATGCTTGCTAACTTCAGAAATTTGGGAGTTAATATGAGCATAAAGATGCACTCCATCTCCATAGCCATTTAAACAGATTTCCAGATATCCTTGGAGACTACAGCGAGGAACAAGACGAGAGGTTCCACCAGGATATGAAGGTGATTGAGGAGAGATATCAAGGCAGATGGGACATACACATGATGGCAGACTACTGTTGGAGTCTCCAACGTGATTGTCCTGATGACACACATAAAAGGAAATTGCATAAACAGCGTTTTTCGAAGCACTGACATTAATAACAATTAATAACTAATTAATATTGTATTAATTTATCAAATCATACATAACTTTTTCCTGTCACTGTTAGATATTTTTAATTTAGTTTTTTAATGATATTATTTATTTATTTATTTTATTTGTGATTATTTGTCATTGTTGACACACCACAGCACCAGTGCACAACAACGAAATGTGTCCTCTGCATTTAACCCATAGGCTATGTGACTTTCGTGACATAACAGGGGGCAGCTAATTCAGCGCCCGGGGAGCAGTGCTTGGGGGCGGTACCTTGCTCAGGGTACCTCAGTGGTGTCTTGCTGGTCGGGGATTTGAACCTGCAATCTTCCGATTACGAGTGCGCTTCCCTAACTGTTTACTTACTAGTTGTAACTAAAATAAAAATATTCTTGCAATTCTGAATGCTTTTCAAACGTGTTCCGTTAATTAACTATTAAATATCTCAGAAACTAGAGCCAATCTGGCGAAACCGTCATATTTTTAAGCAGCACCATAAATTTAATATAAAACCCTTCAGACATCGTTGGCACCAAAATCAATGTATAACAGTGTAATATATCTGGCACATGAGAATATATTATGATAATTAAGTTGAAATCCATAGTCATATACGTATGTATTTATATTATAAACACAAAGTGTTGAAGTACCTTTTTACAGGCAAATAGGCCTAAGTATACTGTGTATACCACCGAGCACAGTTCATAGTCTGTGAGTGAAAATGACAAATCTTGTCCTTGCATATAAAGAACAGTTTAATATTTTCCTATTATTCCCCATTACATAATAATATATAATAATAATAATAATATATGCAAAATACTTATCACAATAAACATGCATGGGGGCTATATTTCTTAATTGAATATAAAACGTCCATATGCGAATATGATTTAAATTATGTTTCACTGCTTCTGGTTATTATTCACTATTAATCATATTTATTAACTACAATAATGCTAAATGTACCTGATGATTTAGACAGTTCATATTATAGTATTCGTACTTTTGAAAAAAATCTTACCGTTTTCCAAATTCTTCTGCAAATCGTTGGCCTCCTGTGTAAAATTCGCAGATCTTAAGATATCAACTGTGACCTGTCCCGCGTCTTTCTCTGTGAAAGTGCTCACGAGTTTGTCAATCAGGTCCAATTTATCTGCATTTTGCACCGTACCCTTACGTATTCTAGGCTCTTCCTTTCGATCGACGAGTTTACTTTTGAATTTCTTAAACTCTACATCGTCCAAATCGTCGAATGTGTCAATCAAACAATCTTTTACCGTTTTCGGCATTTTGTCTCAAATCACTGGGAAAATGTTTCTTTAAAATTCAAACAAGTAGGGTATATTGTATACTATTTAGAGATCTTAGAGACCCAGATCTGTAAGAATGAGAACAGACCGTACACAGGAAGTGAAATTCGGAGGGCAGGCAATGTGCGTTCTTCCTGCATTCTTGAGAACTACTTGCGTTTATTGTTGTAATTATGGCCGCACTGGGGTATTGCACTAAACAGTAGGTACCAAAGTACAACGCTTTTATCGCATGCAATTATTTAAGATAACCCAGTAGATATAAAGCACATACACGCGCATTACCGCCCTTAAACTACACATATGTGCAAGTAATAATTTATAAGCATTAGTATTATGAACATTTTAAGTCTGCGCTTGAGAAAGCTAGAAAAAGATCAAGATCCATACATCCATCTGTAGAAACACCTAACCGCCCATTATTGTGTGTTTGCGTGTGTGTGTGCGCTTTTGTTTTTATATCCTGGTGAGGACCACAACTTGACTGGTCCCCAGGGAGACAACCATTGCAAGAAAGAAAGTAGAATTTTAATATGTCCGGTGAAGGTTTTCTGAAAATGGCAACATATCCCCATTGCGCTGACCAGAAAAAAAATATGTATAGGTGGTATGCGTAGCTGTGCGCCCCCTCTGGTAAAAGTGGAACAACTGAGTGTAAATTTAGCCTATAGGCCCAGTGTTGCCAACTATTTTCAATGGAAAGTAGCTAAAGGTATGGAGTTAATTTAGTGCCAAAAGTATGGAGTTAATTTAGTGCCAAAAGTATCAATCAAAATTTTGAAAACCGCAAGCAAATCATTAAGTATCAGAATGAAAATTTGTATTCCAAATATCAAAAAAGTAAAATAAAATAATTTTATCCTTCTTCTTCTCTAATTTGTTTTGCTTTTGGAATGTTTTTCTTTGCTTTTGGAATTTTTTTT